GTTGAACGAATATTCAAAAAATATTGACCAAGTATTTGGAAATGTTTATTAATTACTAAAAATATTTATTAATTATTAAAAATGTTAAACAAGTATTTGAAAATGTTGAATGAGTATTAAAAATGTTGAACAAATATTTGAAAAAAGTTGAATAAGTATTAAAGAATGTTCAACGAGTATTTGAAAAGTGTTGAACAAAAATATTTAAAAATGTTGAATAACTATTAAAAATGTTGAACGAGTATTTGAAAAATGTTGAATAGGTATTAAGAAATGTTGAACGAGTATTTGAAAAATGTTGACCAAGTATTTGAAAATGTTGAATAATTATTAAAAGAATTGGACGTGTATTTGAAAATATTGAAAGAGTATTAAAAATGTTGAACAAGTATTTAAAAAATATTGAATAAGTATTAAAAAATGTTGAACGAGTATTTGAAAAGTGTTGAACCAAAATATTTGAAAATGTTGAATAAGTATTAAAAATATTGAACAAGTATTTAAAAAATATTGAACGACTATTGAAAAAAATATTGAATAAGGTTGAACAGGCATTTGAAAAATGTTGAATAAGCCATCGGACAATGTTGGATGTGTATACAACATATACGAAAATGTATATTATGAAAACAAACATAGAGAAGAAAACAGAAAACGGAACAAAAAGTCAAGAAGAAAAAAATCCAAACAAAAAATAGAGAAGACAAAAGAAAACCAAACAAAAAATGAAGAAAAAACAAAGAAAAGCCCTGTCAAAAAATAAAAAGGTAAAAGGAGAAAAAAAGATGAACAAATAAATGCAAAAGAAATGAAAATATAGAGAACAAAAAAGAAAAGAAAGAAAACCAAGACGAAAAAAAGGAAAGAAATGGTGCGACCCGCTTTCAAGTAGGCTCGCGCCTTCGTTTAGCACGAAGTGTAGGATGGCAAGGTGGCTAGTAGCACAAGCTTTCTTTGCTGGGTGGTTCGATCCTAAAGCTTCCCTTTTCCTTCGTTTTTTAAATGGAGTAAACGGATCAATGTTCGTTTTCAGTCTGCTTTCGACTCATGTCTGGCTCAATTTTGGACCGTTTGCATTTAAACGGACACACGCGCCTTTGTCCTCTGGCCCGTCCATCGGAGACACAACCAATTTTCTCTTCCCTCCGCCCGCCATCACCCCCGTTCTCGGGCGCGTCGCCTTCCATCAAGGTCGTCTGACCACGCCATGCCATAGCCAGCCCACACCCGCGTTTCGGAAGAGTTTTTGGCGGCGTTCATGGGTCCTTGTCGCCCGTGGGAGAGGAGCTACGGCCGCCGACGCCGCCAGTCGACCCCAACAACTTTCGGCAGGCGCTGCATTGCCGCAGGGTGCCCACCCCCCAACACCAACCTTGCTTTTCTATCTGCGAGGGGAGCTCAACGTGCTCTTTTCAGCCGCATCTCCACCACGATCACAATGTGTTCGACGCTTTACTCACAAGGTACTATGGATAGTGGGGATGAGTATTTCTTTCACAACTTCATTTGTTCATCGGATGATTCATCCTTGATGAAGAGCTTGTGGTGGTTGCATTGGTCTTCCATGACCACATTAGTAGGAAGCGGCCTTGTTTCAGGGCCGGGATCAATCCACGGGCATGCTCCGGCCTTGAACCGCAATAGGGAGAGAGGCCACACCCTTCTCTATGCCGATTACTTTGAGAATACCACAATCTTCAAACCACATCAATTTCGTCGCCGATTTCGCATGAGGAGACATGTGTTCAATCGTATTCGGGAAAAAGTAGTAGGATATGACCTATACTTTTAGGGCAAAGAGGATGCCCTTGGCAAGTTTGGCTTCTTTTCTTACCAAAAATGCACCGCATCTATTCGCATGCTTCCATATGGAATTCCTGGTGATCTTGTCGATGAGTATGTGTGTATGAGTGAGCCCACATGTCTCCTCTTAATGTACAGTTTCTGCAAGACCGTGGTGGCAGTGTTCGGCCCCGAGTACCTGAGAGAGCCAAGTGTTGCTGATACAGAGAGTTTGTTGGCGATCAATGCCGATATGGGTTTTCCGGGCATGTTTGATAGTATAGATTGTATGCACCGGAAGTGGAAGAACTGTCCATTTACCTGGCAGGGGCAGCATAAGGGGCATGTGAAAGGTGACACTGTCGTACTTGAAGCGGTGGCTTCACAAGACCTGTGGATATGACATTCTTTCTTCGACGTGACTAGTTCTCACAATGATATCAACGTGCTTCAGCGTTCTCCAGTGTTTGCAAAGCTTGCAGAAGGCCACTCCCTAGAGGTCAACTTTGAGATCAATGACCACCATTACAACAAGGGATATTACCTAGCTGATGGTATCTATCCTCAGTAGACAACTCTTGTGAAGACCATACCCAGTCCGCGGGGAGAGAAAAGACAGAGATTTGCCCAAATGCAGGAGAGTGCTAGGAAGGATGTGGAGCGTGCTTTTGGTGTGCTCCAATCTCAATGGGGTATCGTTCGAGACCCTACATTGACATGGAGCACTTAGAAGATTTGGGAGATGATGACCGCTTGTGTGATCATGCACAACATGATTGTGGAGGATAAGCTTGATGATAGTATCTACGACTAAGGGTTTGATTTTTAGGGTGAAAATGTTGAGTCTGAGCACCTACCTCCCGCAACCTTTCAACAGTTTATCTAATTTCATCATGAAACACGTGATTGACATACTCATATGCAGCTTCAGCATGACTTGGTTGAACACATATGGACTCACATCAGTAACCAGTAAATCTACCGATTTAATTTCTTTTCATGCATACAAATTTTGAGGTTGTAAGAGCAACTCCAAGGGAGTAACCATTTCGTCCACCGCTGTCCGTTTGAGTCAGCGCGGACAAAAATGCCGGCCCAATGCGCAAACCTGTTTCATGTCTGTTTTGTATCCGCGCGAATCCATTTCCATCCCAAATTTGAGCCACATTTGGGTCGACGGCGGACACAAAGCGGACGTTATCTGCACCCGCCTCGTCCGCCTGTGTCCAGGCCTGCCCCACCTGTCACTCACCCACCCACGTCCCTTTGCTTTATTTTATTCGATGGCCCACCCCACCCCACCTCTCTCCTCTGTGCAGACGCCAAGGTGCACCTCGAGGCGCACTGCTCCAACGCGCCCGCCGCCCCGCTTGACCACCTCCTGCTCGCCGCGCGGCCCAACCGTCAACTGGTGCGCCGCCGCCAACGAGCGGGGTACGGGCAGAGGCGAGCTCGCGGGATGCGGCGCGCAAGAGCGGGGCACGGGCAGAGGCGCGCGAGGCGAGGCGACGATGGCTCCGGCGAGCGCGGGGCGCGGAGCGGCAGCGCGCGGGACGGCTCCGATGGGCGCGGCGAGCTACAGTGCGAGCGGGGCACGGCGCGCGGGACGGCTCCGTCGGGCGCGAGGTGGCTGCTTGTGTGCGTGCATGCACAACGCATGCTTCCCGCGTGCGTAGCTAGCCGCTCCGGTGCTCGTCGTGGCCTTCGCTCATCCTGCTTGACGTGGCCTTCGCTCGGCCCTCTCGACATGGCCTCGCTCGCCCCGCTCGCGACCTCCCCTCCAATGCTCGGAACTTGTCGCGGTGCGCCGAGCTCGCTCTGCCGCGCAGCAGAGCCATGGCGGGCTCCAGCTCGTCCGCGCGCCGGGGCGGCGCTACTGGCCTCGCCTCCCCACGCCTAGCCACTGCACGGCCTCACCCAACGCCAGACCTCAAGCAGCAGGCTCCAGCTCGTCCCGGCCAGGGCCAACGTGCACTGGCGTTTGCGAGCTCCCTGTCTCCTATGTGTTTGACAAAATGCCGATCCGGACATGCATAAAATCGGCCTGCCTCCCGTTAGGTGCACGGCCGACCCAAACTAAAAAGCGGACACGGACGGGCGGACGGGCGACCCAAACAGATAAAAAGCGGACAAAATCGATGTCCGTTTGGGTCGCCCCGTTGGAGTTGCTCTAAGATTATTTGATGTTGTGTTTTATTTCTATTAGGTTGTACGACTATTTCAAATATGAAATTATTTGCTATGTTTGATTTGAACTATTTGCTATGCTTGATTTTGGTATAAATGACCTCTGACAGACGAGATACGGCCGCGCGTTGAACATACAGTTGATGCACACAAAAATCGAAACAAACACCGCTCCATTGCCATCTGAAACGGACAAAATCCGAACAATATGAGGCCTCTTTTGGTTTGTAGGAATGTCATAGGATTTATATAGGATAGGATTTGCATAGGAAAATTTCCTTTGAAGCCATTTGATTTGTAGGAATGAATTCCTATTTCTATATAGGATATGAATCAATCCTTCACATTTTGAATGAAAAAAAACATTAATTAAGACTCAATGAAAAAATTTCTTTTCTATACATTAAATGACATCTCTTTTTCTATAAAAATTGAGATGCATATCATCTCATTTTCTATGATTTTTCTATTCCTACAACATAATGTAGACTGTTTGTTCATCGTGCAGTTCGATCCATGATGCAGCTGACACGCCCGCTCCCAGTGCCATGGTTTCGGGCGCTCTTTTTGGTCCGCTGACACCGTCAATGATTCTTACCGTCTTTCTAGGCGTTCCTGGATTATCCTATGTACCCTCTGCCACAGTCGCCCTTCCTCTTGACCGCTGCAAAGACTGGCATGGCAATGCGCTGCGCCCATGCCGTTGGATTGCAGACGAGACCTCTCTCGCAGCAGCATTGGAATACCTTATCTGCCTCGAGGCCAGTCAAATAACTTTTCTACTGACCATCGTTTAGCTTTTTCACGTGTTACCACCATTGCCTTTGTCCATACCATATAACCTTAACCACATCTCTGCTTGCCTCCTTACTGTTACTGGTGATCTGATCTTCTCCTGCTCTTGATACGGAGAGCTCTGCTCTGCTCATCAGCTCATGGCCCATGAGGTGCGCCTGCCTAAGCCTGTCCTACTTACAGTTCCCTGTTTTCCTTACACTTTGCACTAACCATCCAAAGATAGTGACAAATTTATGATTCTTGACTGGGAGGTATGGCAGGACGGCTGGCCTCTTGGACTGGGCCTGGGCACCCTGAATCCGGGAGCCGGGGCGGTCAGGAGCGTCGGCTCCTCCTCCTCCACCGCGGCATTCACCCCGTCCCACTGCGTCTCGTCCGTCGCTTCGTCTGATCTGGACACAGAGGTCAGAATCGATCAACTCCTCCTACTATCTGTCTGCAATATAACAGTGTCAGTGTAGGTCAGCTTGATTTGATGTTCCTGCTTATACTTTGTATGCTGCAGTCGGCGTGGTCTTTGCCGCGCGCTGGCGGCGGCGGCGGCGGCATCACGCTGGCGGCCCTGATCGGCCTGGTGGACGCTATGGAGAGCCGGCGCAGCAGGCGCCGGGGCGAGAGGGCGAGCAGGAGCGGCAGGCTGCGGGCGCTGCTGCTCTCGCTCTGCCTCCGGAGCCACCTGGAGAACGGCGGCGGCGCGGCGCCGTCGCTCGGCCAGTTCCTCGAGATGGAGAGGAGGGCTAGCGGGAGCAGTGGCCATCTCCACAGGATGCTTCCGTGGAACCGTGACTGACGAGCCTGTATCCACGATGCAACCGACGGAGGAATAAGATTTGCATGTTGTTATTCTTAAAAAAAAAAGATTTGCATGTTGTCGCTCATTTTTCTTCTTTTTTGAGGGACATGTTTTTTTTCGCGTAAACGCAAAGCTTACATATCATTCATCAATAGGTAGAAACAAACAGAGTTCCGAACATTACACTTAGGGATGTACACGGATAAACGGCGCAAAGGCGCCCGTGGTGGCCATTGTCCTGTTTGCTTGGCAGAGTGTGCCGGCCGCTTTCTTTCGGCGGTCTGGGCGTCCGTGATCTGCACAGGGCTGGGATTGCGCTCAGCGTCTGTTGGCTCTGGCTCCAGCGCGCGAACGCTGCGAGGCCATGGCAACACCTCCATCTCCCCTCTGACCCCGAGGCTGCCGCGATGTTTCACGCGTCCACAACTTAGGCCATCAGTAATGGCCTGTCGTGCAAATTCTAGACGGACCACTGGATCAACGGTAGGACGGTGGCGGAGATCGCCCTGGTCTTTGATCTGGTCCCTCGCCGTCGTCGCAAAAACCGCCTGGTGCACGACGGCATGCACCAGCGGGCGTGGGTACAAGGCATCAAGGGCGCCCTTGGTCCTTTGGCGCTTCTTCAATATGTCGAGCTCTGACGTCAGGTGCAGCTCGTTCACCTTTCAGTCTCCCCAGACGCGATCCGTTGGCACTGGACCGACTCTGGCCACTACATGGCCAAGTCCTGCTACGAGCAGATGTTTGCTGGCTCCATCCGTGACCCCCATTGGCGCCTCATATGAAAATCTTGGGCACCTCTCCGGATGAAGGTGTTCCTCTGGCTCGCTGTCCTTGACCGCTGCTGGACGGCGGCCAGGCTTGCGCGTCACAACCTCCCGCACGATGATTCTTGCCTGCTTTGTGACCAAGAGTGCATCCAACACATCCTGGCCCGCTGCACCTTCTCCAGACAAATCTGGTTCGAGGTCCTCTCCTGGTGTCAGCTGCACATCCTCCTGCCGCGCCTTGATGCGGATTGGTGGGAACAATCCCGTGACCTGCTTCCTGCGAGCGCTCGCAAAGACTTCAACATTCTTGTTATGCTCACATCTTGGGAGCTTTGAAAGCATCGGAACAGCTGCGTCTTCGACGGGCTACGCCATTCCATCACCAGCATGTTCAAGACCATCCGCCAGGAGGCTCTTCTTTGGGCTCGTGCTGGGGCCAACGGATTGCAAAACATCATAGGCGTAGGCTGATTCTTTTCTATTTGGGTTGAGCAGCCCCATCTTGTTCTTGATGCTCAGGTATTGCGCTTAGGGACATGTTGTTGCAATGTTGCTCCTTTTGATTTGGGCGTGCCTAGAGGCCAGGTGATCTATTTCAAGCCAGCCCAATCATTATTTCAGAATTCCTAATAAATCATATAGGTTCATATAGTCCATTCATGCAAGGCAAGAGATGTGACTAAAGTTTAGTCCAATATCAACATCTGCCATGCTAAAGTTATACAATATGAAACTTTAAGTCATGACACATTTATTGGTATTGATTTCAGATTGTAAATGTTGGTACTTTTTTCTATAAAGTTGATCAAACTTTATGAGGCTTGACTTCAGTCAAATTTTATATACGAACTAAAAAGGACCGGAGGGAGTAGGAAGTTGGGCGTGCGCTCCTCCTCTGTTGCCCTCCTCGGCATGACGCGCCGCCGGAATAAGCTGAGCCGTTGTCTAACTTTTTGTCGCACATGACTGGGATATGAAATGTCATCCAAAATCTGCCTCGGTGCAAAATACTAGTATACTACTACTACTAGAAGAACGCCCGTGCGTTGCAACAGTGCCACATTAACTTTAAGAGTTCAATATTAATATTCTCATACATATCAAATGACATTGGTGACCTTTTTTACCATCAAATCCTTACACACACACACTCTCCCTCCCTCTTCCTCACTCTCTCTCCCCCTCTCCCTCTCCCTCTCTAACACACACATATCCATTTTATTGGATACGGGACCATAATCCATCTATTTCACACACACACACTAGTGCATAACAATATGGATTATGTGTATTATATTTGCCACCAAAACTGAGGGAATTAATTTCATGTAAATTGGTCAGCCACAGCTCCAAGAATACGCTGAGGAGGTGGCCCGGGTCAGCGTCGGCGCCGTCCGGCACGGGCCACGGGCCCGCTTCCAAGTGCGTCTGCGCGCCGGCCACCCACGCCGGGTCCTTCAAGTGCCGCTTCCACCTCACCAACTCCTAGGGCCACGGCCACAGCCAGGGCCAAGGAAGCCGCCCTTCTTCGTCCCCTTCACCGGCCGCGGCCAACGGGTGCCGCGGCACCCGGCCTCGCCGTCCTCGTCCTCCGGCACCGTCGCGATCCAGTGACACAGCCCAAGCATCGACCTCGAGAATCAAGAACGCTCGACGACGAAGAAGGAAGGGAAGATCATATACATGTCATAAAAAAGAGAGTTTATTTACTGCTCCCTCGATGTATTGTTTCCTTTGTTTGGAGATTGATTACCATCCGTGAGTTAAGGTAAGGTTAATGTGATTGAGCGATTTTTCTGAAAATCAAATATTTGTTTTCTAATTAATGTGATTGAGTGATTTAAGGTAAGGTTAATTAATTTAGATTTAATCTTTAGAGATTGTTCGTGATTGATTCTATATTACTAAATAACTTGTGCCAGTATTGAAAGTTCTGATCTGTTCAGATTTCTTTCGTTGTGTGAGAGGGTAACGCGAAAATAAACCGATAAAGTGGGGGGAGGGAACGAAAAAAAATCTAAAAAAAACCCAGCGAAGGTGGGAGGAGGTACCAAAAAACCCATAAAAGGTGGGATGAAAAAAACCCTGAAAGCGAGACTACCAACTGCTCTATTAGAAATAGAGACTCATAGTACAAGCTAGCTAGCTATAATAGTAGTATATTTTTGTTGAACAGATCCTAAAAACTACAAACAAGTGTTGGAGTTCATATATGTCTTCTATGTGTAAGTTCCGATCCATCGATCCAATGCAGCTTAATTACAGTACAAGATATGTGTATATACATGGACTTAGAGTTTAATTATTCTTCACATGAGAATGATGAGGAAAGGCATAGGTATGTGTATGTATATGTGGAGTTAGAGTACAACTAACCTTTGTAAGGGCATATCTTTCCCTAAGTGTTTTGGTGATTGATGACAATGCTCGTGCGGACTAATCATGTGCTTTGAGTTCCTCAGACTCCTCATCATTAGGCACAAGACGATTCCGTGCCCCTCGGAGACTGTTGAAGCCGGCGTTGTTCTACGTTTCTCCTTGGTGGAGTTGAGTCGTAGGAGAGCCGTACTATTAAGAGGGGGTCCACGGCGGAAAGGTAGGGTGGAATCACACGTACACTTGTCCCTCCTTTCCTTGCACTTTGGAGCTACCCGTCGTTATCTTGGTTGTGTGGAAATCTGGCGACTACTGCTGTACTTGCGGTAGTACCGCAGGTACAAGCGGTAGTACCGCGGCGCTTCACGGTAGTACCGCCCCTTGGTGCGGTAGTACCGCGGCTCCCTGGCCTAGTGCCGCTCCGGTGCGGTAGTAGGGGCGGATGTAATTTTTTACATCCGCGCCGCCCACGGTAGTACCGCTCATCCAGCACGGTAGTACTGTGGAGGCCCACGGTAGTACAGCTCCCTTGGAGTCGTAGTACCGTGGCCCATAGGCCTAGTACCGCAGTGTCACGGTAGTAGGCGCGGATGAAATTTTTTACATCCGCGCCGACCACGGTAGTACCGCGCCTCGCAGGCGGTAGTACCGCGTCGGGTTTTCGCACCACCCTAGTTTCTGCGGAAGTTTGCACGGATGTATTTTATTTCATCCGCGCCCTTCCGAGGCCGTGACCCTCCTGCCTTGCGGTAGTACCGCAAGGGGAGTGGTAGTACCGCGCAAGCGGTAGTACTGCTCCTTCTTCAGGCTTGTTCCGGCCTGTGCAGTTGCCACGGTAGTACCGTGGTGGTCCACGGTAGTACCGCGCGGCGCCGCGGTAGTACCGCTTCCTTGGAGCGGTAGTACCGTGAGTCGCGGGCAGAACTAGTGGATAACGGTTGGATTCTTTCCACGACTATATAAGGGATGTCTTCTACCTCTAGTTGACTATCTCTTCCACCTCTAAGCTCCATTGTTGCTCCAAGCTCCATTTTCACCCGATCTCTCTCCCTAGCCAATCAAACTTGTTGATTTGCTCGGGATTGGGTGACAAGGGCCCGATCTACACTTCCACCAAAGGATATTTGATTCCCCCCACTTATCCCTTGCGGATCTTGTTACTCTTGGGTGTTGAGCACCCTAGACGATTGAGGTCACCTCGAAGCCATACTCCATTGCGGTGAAGCTTCGTGGTGTTGTTGTTGGGAGCCTCCGATTGTTGTGGAGATTGCCCCAACCTTGCTTGTAAAGGTTCGGTCGCCGCCTTCAAGGGCACCAATAGTGGAATCACGGCATCTCGCATCGTGTGAGGGCGTGAGGAGAATACGGTGGCCCTAGTGGCTCCTTGGGGAGCATTGTGCCTCCACACCACTCTAACGGAGACGTACTTCCCTTTAAAAGGAAGGAACTCCGGTAACACATCCTTGTCTCCACCGGCTCCACTATTGGTTATTTCGTGCCTTTACTTTCGCAAGCTTACTTATTGTTACATCTCTTGTTTGCTTGCGTGCTAGTTGATATTGCATCATATAGGTTGCTCACTTAGTTGCACATCTAGACAACCTATTTGTTGCAAAGTTTAATTTGGTAAAGAAAAGGTTAAAAATTGTTAGTTGCCTATTCACCCCCCTCTGGTCAACCATATTGATCCTTTCAATTGGTATCAGAGCCTCGTCTCTTTATTAAGGACTTTGCCGTCCGAAGAGTATGGTTGACACCAACGATGGTGCGGAGGAACACTCCGGTGTGAATCCCATCTCATCTTCGGCCGAAGGGGGAACCTCGGTCTCTCGTGAGGAGTTCAATGTGGCT